TGGAGTTGTTTGTGGAGATCAAAAAGGAAAAGGGACGAAGAGTTCCGTTTTCAAGAGACTGAGTCTGAGCTGGCAGTTAGACAAGTAAGAGGACATGTCAGAGGCATTTAAACAAGGACAGACGGGTAAGAAGGGTATATTTGGGAATCACTCATGGGAAGGCGGCAATTGACCATTGGAGGAGATAAGATTATCTAGAGATGAGGGAAGAGGAGAGCACCAAGACTGGAACTTTGGGTGATAACGGTTGGGAGAGGTAGAGACAGGAGGAGCTATTTACGTAGACACTGAACAAACAGTCAGCAAGATAGGAGGATATAGTCCCGGAGCCAAGGCAGAGAAAATGGCAAAGGAACATAAGAATGCCCATATTGGGTCAGACCAAAGGTCAATTTAGCCCAGTATCCTGTCTTCCAACAGTGGCCAATGCCAGATTCCCCAGAGGGAATGAACAGAACAGGTAATCATCACGTGATCCATCCCCTGTTGCCCATTCCCAGCTTCTGGCAAACAGAGGCTAGGGACACCATCCCTGCCCATCCTGGCAAATAGCCATTGATGGACCTATCTAGCTCTTTTTTGAACCCTGTTATAGTCTTGGCCTTCACAACATCCTCTGGCAAGGAGTTCCACAGGTTGATTGTGTAGTGTGCGAAAAAATACTTCTTTTTGTTTGTTTTAAAGGACAGTGATCAACAGTGTGAAAGGCAGTAAATAAACCAAGTTGTTAAGGACAAAAAATTACCTCGGGGTGGTAAGAAATCATAAATGACCTTTGTGATGGCAGTTACAGTGGAGTAGAGAGCGAGGAGCCAACTAAGAGGAGAGCAAGGGGAAAATGAGAAGAAAGGAAGTCAAGGGAAAGTAAGCAGCATGCTCTGTTATTTTGGAGACAAAAAAAACAGAGAAGAAAGGGGACAGAACCGTAGTTAGACACAATGGATCCTGGGGAATGTTTTTTTACAAGATGGGGAGACAGGAGTATCTTGTACTTGAAGGCAGAGGGAAATGAGCCAGAGGAGAAAGAAAGGACGAAGATAAGAGAAAGGGAAGCATGGATGGCAGGAGGTGAGAAGGCATGAGATTAAGGGAACAAGGTGAAGGCTTAGCAGCAAAGAGAAGAAATGAGACTCAGTCAGAAACAGAAGTGAAGGAGGGGGACCTGGAAATAGGGGTGAATGAGGACAGGGAAGGAAAGGGAGAAGTCATGCTGGATTAGGATGCTTTTTTATTTTGCAAAGAAGCTGGCTATATTCTGAGTGAAGAGGGATGCAGAAGACCGTAAGGTTAGAGAAAGGGTTTATGGAGGGAACTGAAGGTGGAGAAGAACTGACTGTAACTGGTGGTCTAAAAGTGATTAGAGTGAGAACGTAAAGCTGATGAGGCAGAAAGGAGGGATTAGGCAGACTTTCTCTGGACATGCTCAGTGGTCCAAGAGCAGGAATGGAACAAGTGAGTGTAAGGGGAGAGCAAAGGTTGAGGAATGGAAGAATGGACAGAATGGCACAAAAGGGGAGTGAAGAGGAGAAGATAAAATTTTTGGAAAGAGGAAAGATCAGTGTTTTTAGTCTAGAAGTCTCAAAGGTTGGCTGTAGGGTTCTAGGTACTTTTGACTATATCAGTATTCTGTCTTTACAAAGTAACTGCCCGCTGTCAGTAAGGGTATAATTTCGTGTTGACCAGAAAGCTCATCAGGCAATCTCTAATCACTGAACATTGCGCACAAGTACTGACAGCTGCAAAGATTCAAACCACTATACTAGAATCTTACGAATTCTCACCGACATACCCATTATCGTCTCTATATATTTATCTTAGTTTTACTTCTAACAGCCTCTGTCAGTATGGTATCTAAGTGCAGAATTACCAATTTTTCAAATTAGCAAGTAAAAAAAAATGTATTACAAAATAGACTTTTTCATATATTTTGACAAGTGTGGTTTTGTTTGAATTATGTATGATAATTCTTTGGAATGTTCCAGTAAAAGTTATATAGTATTGTGACAGAATATACCCGTATTCACACCCTACACACTACTGTAATAATTTTTGTACAAGACCTGTCTTGTGAGGTATCATTTAAAAACTCATTATTTGCTAATCAATATCATCATGGCAAAATGCACATAGCAGCATTAAGGAGGGACATGACTATAAAAAGAAGGGGCAGACCCCAAGGCACCCCCCCCTCTCTACCCACTGCATTCAATGCACCAGAAGAGACAAAGGAAGCAGCCATTGGACTCTGGGGGAGGGGTCCTGACCTAAAGAGTTTGGTCAGTCAGACTGCTGAAAATATGAGGTGAGAAAACTTTGCCTTGAATCTAATATAGTTTGTTAGGTGAGGCACCAATTGCATTTTATCTTTATTTCTCTTGTAACCAGTCATGACTTTTATGCCTCTTTACTTGTACTCACTTAAAATCTCTCTGTATGCAGTTAATAAACTTGTTTTACTGTTTTATCTAATCCAGTGTGTTTAAGTTGAAGTGTCTGGGTAACTCCATTTGGGGCAGCAAGTTGTGTGCCTATTATTCCCTTAAAGGAATAACCGATTCAATACATGTGTACTGTCCAGCAGAGGGCTGGGCAGTACAGGACACATGTTTGGGGGTGGGGGTGGGGGGATCTGGGACTGGGAGTGTGTTGTGGACACTGTGGTAATCTGTAAGGTTGGTAAGAGCCAAGGTGTGGCTGCAGCACACAGACATAGCTGGGAGTGACTAACATGCTGGAGGCTGTTTGTGAGCAGTTCAGATTGGAGGCTAAAGCCGCAAAACCTTGTAAAGGAAAACAAAGGGAGATACCGCAGGTTACAGGGCAGAAGTGACAACCACTCATTGGTCTGGATTGTACCCTGGTATGTCATAAGTACACTTGAACATATTTTTCAAAAATATTGAAGTCTTTGAAACATGCGACCTCTCTCTTGCATTCTGCAATTACATTCTTGCTGAAAAAGGGGAGGGATACAATCATTTTTGTGTGCGCATCTCAGGAACAGCAGATGCGCAATTAAGTGAAGTGAGATTTACAAGTTTCTATTGTACTTTTTCAAACAGAAAGGGAAATTTCAGCAGCATGGCAACAACCACAGCATGACAGTACTTGAGAACATGGCCAGGTAATTCAAGCAAAAATTCAACACTGGAAGGAGAATTTAAAACACAGATGATCTTATATGTTAACTTTCAAATACCTATTTATGGTATATTTATGGAGCAAAAATATCAGGCTGAGATCCTGTAACTTCTTTCCTGAAGAAGTCAGCGCACCACTGAAATCAAAATCATAATAGTGCAAACCAACCGGAGTGGGGAGAGAGGGTCCATATGGGTGCAGCAGACCCCCTGCATGCAAGAAGCTGCAGAACTGGGGCCTAAATGTATGGCTGACTAATAACAAAATCAAAACAAAATATGAATACACCAAAATATAGATTTTATTCATTTCTTTTAATAAATGCAGATGGTTTTCAATGAAGGTTAAAATATTTTACCATTTGTATAGTGTGTTACCTCCAGATACCATAATTAGTGTGTGTTAGTATAGAAGAGAATGATCTCAAGGTGTGTTATCCCATAGTAATATCATTCCTTGTCCTGCATTCAGGTCTTCCCACTGAATTTGTGGGACACTATAATCATGCTGCAAGACTGAGACCATTCTGTGCAACAAACATCAACCCTAAACTCAAACCTTTTGTACAGTAGCACTCACCACTGTCTGTGCCTGCATGCTGTTGCTCTTTCCACACTGGCTATTAATATCTGGCAGGACTTGACTAGAATATTTGCCTAAAAAAACATCACTAAACTTAGCTTTGTGTGTGTACGAGCATATGTACATGCACTTGTGTAGGGGGTGGAAGCATACCCGTGTGGACTACAGAACCAGATTTGAAAATACAATAATGTTGATAGTACTTCTGCTCTATAACCATTCTCACATACCAAAACAGGTATTGTACAGTAGGTACTAATCACTAATAACCAAAAACTATATAACTCCTACTTAGGCACCTTTTCTTCATAATTTCCCCCAAAATATTTTGATATGTTCCTCTAACATTGCTAGAAAAAAATGTGGCTATCATATGATCATGTTGCACAATTCCCTTATCTAACTGTTCTACATATTCTCTCTCTCTCACACACACACAAGGCTCAGCTCACATAACCTCCCTGATGCATGTTCAGTCTCTGCAAGTATATACTCTAGTACTCCAATTCCCAGATGCCATGGATTCATCACAAACTGTCTATGTAAAAATATGTATGGATATTCAACTAAAATACTAACAATCATAACGTTGAAAAGTAGCTGGCAAACACATCCTTATTTCTACTTTTTAGTTTGTCAAAATTAGTTTTACAGCTGCCATTCTGCTTTGTCTGTGGTCCATAACGAAACCCCAGATATGACCACTGATACATTTCTGGAAAGTTTGGAACCATATTCACATTTTAACTACATGCTGGCCCTTAATTGTGTAAGGGTTGAGCCAACACCAAAGATCTCAATTCTGCTGAACTTTGGGAAGGCTCAGATCCATATTCGACCTTTACATCTCTAAATGTACTATAGGCAGTATACTACATAAAAGAATAACAGAGAGGATGAACTAAGGACAACAAATAATCATGTGAACCCCACCTCCCAATGCAATACTTAATTTATCGGTGGACACAATGAATTAAGAGAAGGAGCCATCATGTGTTTTTACATCATTCTGCAAAGTACCACATCTAAAAAGAGGTACTTCCAATTACATCCTCATGTCAGCCAATCATATACTGCTGTAAGGATGGAGAGGACAGGTTACTCCAGGAATGACAACCACTTGTCTGCCTGCTTGAATTAACTCTGACTTAGTGAGTAAGGCCAAACTATCCTGCCTTTGGAGGCATTCAAACTAGTCTGAAACTAATCTGCTTAGCCCATCTCTAAAAGAAATGCAGGGCTTTCTAACAAAATACCAGTGGGGTTTTGGTACTCACCTTACATCCCTCACAGGCACTGACGCCATAATGATATCCAGATGACTTGTCCTGACAGACAAAACAGGGCTTGTAAACACGAGGGGGAGGAAGTGGGGAAGGTGGACTTGGGACAAGTTCTTCAGAACTGGTGCTCTGAGTTTCGATGGCTACAAAAGAAAAAAAGAAAAAAAAGAAAAAACACCATTTTAGTGCATTACCTTTGACTTTTATATACTCTATTATTTATCCCTTTACAGCTACTAAAAAAATTCTGTATCACAAGCATATGTTTGGCTTTCTTCGCAAAATTTAAGTAGAGATGCCATCAGATCCACACTCTGTCTCCCTAAACACAGATGTATTTTTTTAAATGAATAGGATGCATAAATTCAGCCCCTTCCATAATCTTGCAATCCCATATTCCAAAAGGCACATGGCATCAGATCCACATGCTGGGCCAAATTCCACGCTAAGATACCCCCAACACAAATCCTTTAGACTAGACTAGGAAATGAATTTGGGCATCAGAGGACAGAATTTAGATCATATTCTAGATTCAGCCCTTGGAATTAAACATGAGCTATTGATGCGCACATCTGAGCACAGAATGTAGTCTTTGATGGGGAATGACGTGAAATATCTATCCATTCAACATTTATCTTTTAGCTAAACATGCTATGAAGTCTCTCACCTACTTCCACAACAGAGGTAACATTTTCAGGATGCAAGTTTGTCATGGAAGGATATGGAAAATCATCAATGTGCATTAAGAGACTGATGATTTAAGCATAGGACAGCAAGTTCTAATCCTACAGTTTTTCTATCTGTACTATTGACATAATGCAGTAACACTTATTGATCTGCCTTATGGGATATTAATGTTTGTAAACCACTTTGAAAAGGGGCCACTTAAGTATTATGACATCTTGTCACTTTACTGCCTTAATATTTCTGGATGGACATTTATTTTGAATCTGTTGAGGCATTAGTTACTCCTTTCTGGGAAACAACATGAAAGCTCTGTGAAGCAGGATAAAAGATGTGAACTTGATCTTTTCAAAGCATCTGCATTAGTTTTCTCTGATACACCATCATCATCATCCATATTTGTTGTAGATGTGCAATACATTTCCTTGTTTCAGTAAGTTGTTCTGCTGCTTCTCGGACAAATACCTCTAATTTTTCAACAGATACATAGAAATGATGTAACGTATGAACTTGTATCCATCTAGAAATATTAGACATTATCCACAGAGCTAACTCTCAAGAGTCTTAAAAGTGAACACTAAGAATATTAGTCAACAGAACATTTTGGACAAGATTTACTGTCCAAGATGGTTTCCACATTTTTCAAATGTTGCATTTGTATTACATCCGGGATTCATTCCCAACCCACATTCTTCAGAATTCACTGACACTTAGCTAAACCATGTTACAAGTAACATGCTACAGGTTCCAACTCTACAGAGCAAAGTTTAATTTTTTTCTTAAAAAAAAAAAAAAAAAAAGAGGGAGACAAAATCCACTATATTCTTTCTTTTAATAGTCATTTTTAGCATTTAAGATAGACACAGAGCATTCTGTTATTGATTTGTGCACAGTCACCCTGCTTAAATCAATAATCTATTAGTCCTTTTAAATTAAAGTTAGATTCATCAAATGCCCTTGAGAGGTCTCAAACATTCTGTTCCTTATTTCATGCTAGTACATGCATCTTAGTGACTCCCAATCAGTATCTGGAATGATAAAAATTTAGCTCTAAAACTCTGCAATCTCAGCAGACGTGTTCTATATTAGTTCATTGAGCTATCTCACTCAGTGTAAAAACCAGTTTTTAGACATCCCATGGGGAACGAGGGTTGTGTTATTTGGTAAAACAACTGCACTCTTGCCATACTTATATGATTTTAGTTTGGAGAAAGCAGTCTTTTAGGAATAATTCTGATCTGCTTCTACTTTTTTGATCGTTTATTCCAAACAAGAAGCAGCATCCAATGGTGGTGTTCATATTGCTAACCATATGCTCAACAAAGCTCTGTCAGACTCTGGCCAAGCCACAGGAACTTGTGTTACTTATATGAGATGAAACACCCGGCTCTGTTCATAAATGCACAAAGCAGAGTCAGCAACTGAAGATGCTGAGGAAGCTGCTATAGAACTGCCAAGGTAGACAATTTGAAAATGGATATGACAATCAAAAAACAACAAGAACAAGAAATAAACCTCCCAAGCCAGCTCAGCTATATCTGCTATTAAATTGGCTTAGCCCATACACTGCAAACATGTGTCACAAGAACAAACGCCTAGTGAGTTTTATTTGTCACAAGAAAACAATTACAGGGCTTGTTTATTTTTGGTTATAGACAAGTATTGTAGTTGCACAGAGGGCCTGGATTCAGATCACATGGACTCTATTTCAATCTGTTAGTAACTTACTGTGGATCCTTGGACTTAGCCTCCTTGCCTCAGTTTACCTATCTGTAAAATGGTATGCTGGCAACTCCTAGGAATGGTGCCAGAGGCTTAATCGATTCATGTTTGTGAACCACTTTGCAGTCACTGGATGAAAGATGTTATGTAAAGGAACAAAGTACTATTATTATTACTTCACATAGGTTGTTTGGGCAAGAGCAGCAGGAAAAAAGGCATTCTGTATATAAGTGTATGTGTTACAAATAGGAAGGTAGAGTCCCAGCTAATGCAATTTTAAAGTAATCCTACAATTTTCCCAAAGTGGGGAAAAACAAAACACAACTTGATTTTTAATGTTTTGCTGTAAGCAGAGGATGTGACACTTGGGAATCTCAACTCACCTGAGAAAATACAGCATAAAAGAAGTTACAAAACACAAGTTCCACTTAAGTATTCAGGGATTCTCATACAAAAGGTCACTTCATGATTCCTAACATGTTTGAAATTTTTCTAAAGGTTAGATAAAGTAGCAGATAAGATCCTTAAGAGAGTGTATAAGAGCTAATTTACTGCTAGCTAAACCATGTTGACAGACAGAGGTATTTTATTTTGTGGCTGATTAAAAGCAGACAAGCATTATGAAGCCCTTTCATTATACTAGAAACTTAGATTATTAAGACTGTATTTTAATGCACACTTTGGACAGCTAAGTCTTAAAAGAATAAAAAGTTGTAAAGCAAATGGCATTTCCTGGATAGCCCCAAGGGAACTTTGAACACTGGGTTCTGAGTCCCTGGTGGGAAGGAGCAATTTCAGCTAATTAGGGTGAATAGAAAAGTGTTGCATTTGGTCAAAACATTCTGTTAACCCTCATTTTTGTTGGCACCAAGAAGAGTCAGTCAGTCTATTTTTTTTTTTTTTTTTTTGTGAATTCACTGCTGGAGTGAAAAGCACACAGCTCACATACATTAGGCAGAAAGTCAAAGGAAACGCCAAAGTTCAGCTAAAGTACAAGTAATTAGAAACAGATTCTCTGCCGCTTGTATGTGTGCATTTCATTGTAGACGTTATTTATAAGCCTCCAAACATTTGCAAAAATAACTATATTCCGCAGATCATTTAATTTTTATGTCTAGTCTAGAAAAAGAGTCTGCCTTTAATCATCTTCCAGTAAAAATCTAGGCAGTGGAAAAGTGGGTTTCATTTGTTTCCATACAAATTTATTTCTTTCATATGCCATTCAAAACTATATCATCAAATTAAATCCAAAATATCACTGACTCCTGCCCCCTCAAAAATTTTTAATAATAAAGTGCTTTGAATCTGTCATACTTAAACAAATAGTTTGCATTGTTATGAGGTTGTTGGGTTTTTTTTTTTTTTTTTTAAAAAAAAAAAGGGTTTGAAAAAAAAAAAAAAAGAGTGAGAGAAAAAGAAAACATTATCATGGAGACTTGCCAGCCTTGACTTAGTAACCTGGCCATGACCCTAGAGTGAGTATGCGTTTAACCCGGTCACACGGGATTCTGGCTGAGTACTGTTGCTGGGCTATCAATCCCTGCTATTCTTACTATATATACAACAGGTGCAGATCACAGACAATGGGATGAAAACAAAGGGAGATACCATAGGTAAAGACTTTGATTTTCTTTTCTTTTTTTAAAACAAAGATGTTTTGTTAGAAAAAAAAACTCTTGCAAATCTGTTCCCCTCTCAGTCACTGAAGCTGTCTGCTTGACCATTAGAGTGAATGAGGATTTTAAATACACAGCAAATCATGCATATTCCATTTACACAGCACCGTAATTAACTCAAACCATGAAAAAAAATATGCTCAGTTTAAAAAGAAAAAAACATTTCCAGCTTGTGATCCATCAGCTTAAATTTTTGTTAGTAAACTGGGGTTCCAGTACTATCACCATCATCATTTCTTTTGAATATTTTATGCGTGAACACAATGCACTGGGATTGAAATAAAAGCTACCATGATTGGCCCATATGGAGACAATACCTCTACATTTTTAGATGTCTACAAGTACTTTTATTTATTTATTTTTACTTTCCATATCCTCTTTTTCCCCTCCCCCGTCTAATGAGCTCATGTCTTGTCAGCAGCACACATCTGTCTTTAATCTATAATGTTACATTACTTATTTCATTTTAACTCATGGTCATAATTTTTCGAGCATTGATTTTATTCATGACATAGTACAGCTCTACAAGACAGCTTAGGTCTTAAAAAAGGGGAGGGGGAATTCAGAATCAACTAATCACCGTATACTGTAACTACATGACCTGGGCTGAAGGCCAAAAAATAAAAAAAATTAGTCCTCAGGCTGACTTTTATTATGGGAAGTGGCCTTGCATTTTCATAAGGGACACCAGAAGATTAAATATCTACATTAAATTTTTATAATGTGGTTTTCTACTTCAGAGAGCCAAAGCTATCCTTGTTTGTTTGTTGAAAAGCTAAACATGATTCTTTAGATCAGTGGTTCTCATCCAGGGCTCCCTGGGGGGCCCTGAGCAGGTTTCAGGGGGGGGTCCGCCAAAATAAACCAGAGAGCAGGGCCGGCGTTAGATTCGCTGGGGCCCAGGGCAGAAAGCTGAAGCCCACGTCCAAACCCCACCACCCCAGGTTAAAGCCCAAGCCTGAGCAACTTAGCTTCACGGGGCCACCTGTGGTGTCGGGGCCCAGGCCATTCCCCTGCTGGCTACCCCCTAATGCTGGCCCTGGCTTTTAATCTACTGGATA